TGCGCCTTCACTTTTTGCGCTCTGCTCTCTAACCGCAGTTTTGTAAAGTATTTGTATTCATCACAAAATTTCTGGCTCACCTTCACGCCTGCATGTTGCCAACAAGTATGACACGCGGCCAAAAATCCGGTTTTCTTTTACAGTCTTGCTACTTTCCAAACTCAAAAGATTTTTTAGTCGTTTTTCAAGTTTATTTGGCGTTGGAATTTTTTTTGCAGTGCTTTGATTTGGTTGCGTGACAGTTTATTTTTGTTCTGGGGTATCTTTTGGAGCAGAAGATCAACACAGACAGCAACCCCAGGAAAAAAATGAAAAAGTTTGAGATGCAGGTTTCCTTTGACTTGTGGTCTATCAGCCCTTTACTGCACTGAACTTCTTGCAAAATCGTGGACAATTTCATGTGTTCCTTTTAGCGACCTTCGTTTTTTGCGCGAACGAGCGAACTACCGAAAATGTGCGAGAAGGCAGTATCACAATAGATAGCTATGCTGCATATTTTTGAGGAAAGGGCGACTTTGTCAGGAATTTCACGCTAAGTAATACAGTGTGATAGATCTTCAGCGGTCACGACAAGGTCTACTGATTCATGAGTGCACATCAGCAAAGTGACTTGTTGTTATTAAATGATGACTAGGAGATTACTTATCAATGCGTCGAAATTCAGGCATGATGTAATAGATAGGTAATAAGACTATAGACTGTATTCTCTGACATTTTATGTATATTATGGATCAGAAAGAAGGAAAATTAGGAATCTGCTTGAGCAAATACAACTTTAAGAAAAAGCACATGAAACGAGACGAAACTTTTCAGCAGTGGTTTTGCTCCAGAAATGACAACAGAATAATTTGAGTGAATGAGAAAATTTGTGTAGTCTTCCATGAAGGTTTGTTACAGCAGTGTTCTAATAGCCAGTAACTAAATAATAGACTAAGTTAATCCTGCTAACATTTGTATTGCTAAACCGGCGCAAGTGAAACCGGCGCAAGTGGAGAGAATGCATGCTTAGATAGTAGTCGACAATAATTTTCTCGCGTATCAAGCAACTCGTTTGATTTCGACCTTGCTCCCCTAAATAGGAATTACAAAACTACAAAAAAGTACTTGAGAGCCTTTCTTGCCTTCTCTTTCATCAATTTTTGTGTCTTGTCTGTCAGAGTTTGTTCCTCCGCGTCTTCATCGGTAGCAGAAGATGCTTCTAAAACTTCCGTTGCTATCGGATTGTCGCGGGCTTCAAGAGCCCTTCTATAGAAGATATCATTGATGAATTTTACAGTGCGGTAAAGCTGAAAACAGAATCTTCTGTGGTAAATGTCAACCAAGTAATTATCCTATTACTTACAGGTGGGTTCTTTTTTGTGAGACTTTCAAAAGCCTGCAAAAGCTGTACGAAAGTTTGGTTTTTATTTCCCATAACTTCGAAGGCTTTTTCTACTGCTTGCGGCAGTTCAGAGACAAGCTGTGTTACATTACGTTTCACTTCTTCTTTCAATTGAATCATGTCAGCATTGAACTCAGCAAATTCTTGCTAGAATGACGCTTGTTAACAAAAATGGCCAGCTGATGTAAATTAAACAACTTACCGCAACTCCATATTTTTCCGCCCAAGCATGAGTTTCGCGATCTTGTTCGGAGATAGTTAGAGACATGTTCCTTAAAATTGTAATGTACTCTCTTCGAGCTTTTTTTGTCACATTGCGGAGGTATGGTGGTGGGGGAGGTACACGTGAATGATGATGGCCTCCTTCTCCCTCATGATGGCCTCCTTCTCCCTCATGATGGCCTCCTTCTCCCTCAAAGAGTTGTTCATCGGGTTCGTCGTTAGAGTCATCCTCTTCCGAATGTCCGCCTTCTTCGCTATGGGCGGTAATAACGGCAACAATAATAGCCAGGAAAAGTAGTGCTTTATCCATACTGCAACACACGTTTTCAAATCAGACAATCAGTACTGTTGTAGGACGTTGACGGAAAGCTGTGGCTAAAGGAAACTAAATGCTTGTCCTTTTTTAGCAATTCTATAGCTGCTGTAACTGTGCGCTGGTTAATGTTGGCTTGTACGCAAGTTTCAGACATAAAGGACTTGCAATATTTATATGTGGTTTAGTTGCGTAGAAATGCTTACGTACTAAGCTGCTGCGTAAGTTCGGCCCGAATTTTTTGCCTTGTGTTTGAAGCAGCCTTTCTGGGAGATATTCATACATACTGCGATGGTATTGGTGATATTAGAAAGCGCTTTTCTTGCTCTTCTCAAATCTTATCACATTCTGATAGAATCCTTAAACCGAGATTGCAGGCCTATTAGCGAGAAAATCTCCACATTATGCTCTCCAAGTTAAGTCCTTGTATTCATCACAGAACAGCATAGTATATGC